GGGATGGGGGGATACGGGGATGTGGGGATTGGGGGATGTTGGGATGGCTGCCAGGGGCTGTGCCCAGCCCTGAACCTGCTCCGAGCCTTCCCTCGCCTCTCAGCACAGCTTTTATCTTCCGGCAGCAGCCGAGCAGCGCTCGGGGCTCCTCTCCCTGCGCGGGTCCTCCCTGGGTCACTGCAGCCCGGGCTGCCCGAGGGCCGTGTCCCCGCTCTGCATCCCACCCCCATCCTATCCCTATCCCATTCCCATTCCCATCCCCATCCCCATCCCACCCCCATCCCCATCCTATCCCCATCCCCATCCTATCCCCACCCCATTCCCATTCCTCATCCTCATTCCCCAGCCCCTTTCCCACCCCATTCCCATTTCCAATCCCCATCCCCACCCCATTCTCATTTCCCATCCCATCCCCACCCCATTCCCATTTCCCAGCCCCTTTCCCACCCCATTCCCATTTCCCAGCCCCTTTCCCACCCCATTCCCATTTCCCAGCCCTGTTCCCGTACCGTGTCTCCACTCGGGGAAGGAGCTGCCTCCTCTTCCGCCTCGCCGAGCGCCGGCAGCGAGCGGCCCCCGCTCCTCCGCCCCTCCCCGGCTCCTTCCCTCCGCCTTCCCCGGCTTCTCTCCGCCCTGCCCGGCTTCCCTTGGGGTGCCCGCCTTCTTCTCTCTTTTTCCCCGGCTTTTTCTTCCCCGGCTTCTCTCCGCCTTCCCCGGCTTCCCTGAGGCTGCCCGGCTTCTTCCCCCTTATTCCCCGGCTTCCCCCCGGCTGCCCGGCTTCCCTCTGCCCTCCCCGGCTTCCCAGGGGCTGCTCGTCTTCTTCCCTCTTATTCCCCGGCTTCTTCCCTCCGGCTCCTCGGCTTCTCTGGGGCTCTCCGGCTTCTCTCCGCCTTCCGCGGCTTCCCTGGGGCTGCCCGGCTTCTTCCCTCTGTCCTCCCTGAGTTCCCTCTGCCCTCCCTGAGTTCCCTCTGCCCTCCCTGGGTTCCCTCTGCCCTCCCCGGCTTCTCTCCGGCTCCCCGGCTTCCCTGCTCCTTCCCCGACTTCCCTCCGGCTTCCCTGGGGCTGCCCGGCTTCCCTCGCTCCGGCACAGGGGGAGCAAAGACCGGCCCGAGGCCAGAGCAGCGGGATTTCCTCGCGTTCCTGCCCCGGCCGCTGGCAGTGGCTGCAGTGAGGATTCACTCCCTGCCCGCTCAGTCCATCCCTCACTCCCAGCCTTACCCAGGATTTGCTGCCTGCACAGCCCGGGAGCGTGCAGGGTTTACACTGAGCTGTTCCCAAAGGGTTAACTGTGCCGTGCTGGAGATGAGCTCAGTGAGAGTCCCGGGTTTATAGCTCGGTTCTGCAGGTGAACTGAAAGGCGAGCTCAACACACGCGGGATGGTCGCAGTCACAAACACACCTTTGGATAAAGGCAAGGTGCGGGTCCGTCCGCTCCAGAGCTCGGGTGTCCCGCGGGGTCAGGAGCAGAGAGCAGGAGGCTGCAGGAGCTTGTGGACACACACATTGACAGAGCTAGGGAATTCCAGCTTGGAAATTCCTTTCCAGGCCTGGATTTCTCCTGACTCTCAGCTCCATTCCCAGGCTGACAAGCTGACTGCAGCTTCAGTTAGGGAGGCAGTCTCCAAGGTGATAACGTGGTGACAAACAGAGTGGAATTCATAATAAACATTAACACCTGGTGTCTTTCCCGTGGGAGACATCCTGAGGTGCTGTCCCAAGGATGTTTTTCCCAATTATCCAATGAACTACTGTCCTAGCTGCACGTAACACACTTTAAATACGGGTTGTCCATACAATAAAGTTGGGCCTTCTTCCCCCCAAAAAAGTCCGTGTGTGTTCCTGTCTTTTCTGTCTCTTTGCAGCGCAGTGACCACAGAGCTCAGGAGCAGAGAGCAGGAGGAGGCACCGAGCTCATCCTGCGGGCTGATCTCCGGAGCAGAGAGCAGGAGGAGGCTGGAGGAGCTCGGGAGCAGAGAGCAGGAGGAGGCTGCAGAGAGCAGGAGGAGTCTGGAGAAGCTCAGGAACAGAGAGCAGGAGGAGGCTGCAGGAGCTCAGGAACAGAGGGCAGGAGCCCAGGAACAGAGGGCAGGAGGAGGAGGAGGCTGCACCGAGCTCATTCTGCGGGCTGATCTCAGGAACACCGCGGGATCCTTCCCGGAAGCTGCTCTCTATCACAAGATCTGCCTCTGGACTCCGGCACAGTCACAAACCTGCAGAATTACCTCGTAAAAAGTCGGGCTCTGCTCGATCCCTGCTTTGAAGTGATGGCTGATGGAGGAGATAAGAGTTGTGATCAGAAACACCCAGTTTATCATCGTAAACACCCCGGAGCACGCACAGAGCAGAGAACTGTGAGTGGGGACAGACTATCCATCCCTGCCCTGCTCAGATATCCATATTGTATGGGGATTACTTCAGGGAATTCTCATGTGTTAACCCTGCGTTTTGCAGTTTGCAGCCTCCCTGTCTTTCAATTCATTCATGCCCATTTATTTATAAAGAAATGCAAACACTTTATTCCCTGATTTAATACATCCCGACCTGCTCCTGAGAAAGCTCTACACGTAATCCATCTGTGCTATTAACTATGAAAAACCTGCAGCAGCGGGTGTGTCACTGTCATCTCTTGCTGCCCCCAATTAGACCCAGTCTAACCCTTTTAGCCTCAAGAGAAACCAGATTATAACTTGTCTGTCAGGGCTGAGGTGGATTTTACGCAACCAATGTCGTAATTATCGAAATGATTGCTCTATCAGTCAGCAGCTTGTTGGACCACAAGACCTTTACATCTTTTTGCTGATTCTGGACTTTCTGAAGCAAAGAGAAATGGTTTCCTGGGTGTAAGGGCAACTCCTGCAGTACTCAGGATGTGTCAGAGCAGCCCAATGTGCTTCCACTATCAGAGAAATGAACAGTCAATAGGAATTCATTGATAGCTGACTAAATTTTCTATCTCCTCTTGTTTTATTCTACTATTGGAATGGTGGCCAGAAAAAAAAAGATAAAGACTCGGTTATTTCGTCATTTCTTGACTCTTTCCTGAAGGAAATCTTCACTGGGCAACCACAGAGCAGAGCGAAATGAAGGTAACAGGAATTTTTAATTTGAGGGATCTCAGTGATGACCACACCATAAAGTCTGTATTTAGTCTCCACCTTGTGGGGTGCAGTTAACCTTATTTACAGCATAAACAAACTCCCTGAGTTTATAGCCCTGGCAGGAGGAGTCACTGCGGCTGCTGCTTAGAGCAAAGCCCAGTTTTAGTGGAGTTCTCTTAGGGTTTGATGGAGCCCATGGGCTGGAACTCACATTAGAGATCACCCGAGATCAGTTTGTGGGAGATGAGATTCACCAATAAATCAGCCACCCCGTCATTTTGTGGCTTGCTAAGTAGGGACAAACCTTAAATCTTAAACGTCCCCTCCTCGCTGCTTGTGTTCAATATCTCATTTTTTTTTTCCCCAGACGGCTGTGGATGCTCAGGGGGATTTTGTCAGGGAATCCGTGGATCAGGCTGCAGGTGCTGGGAACGTGGCTGTTCAAACACACTGGCAGCCTGTAACCTTTGTGCCTGTGCCACGGGGGTTGTTACTCATCCCGGTCCCACCCACAGGCTGGGCACGGAGCTCTGCTCCTTCCGAAGCCTCCTGGCTCCTTATCAGCCGTCGATAAAAGCCGCGTGTGTTTGTACAGAGGTTTGACTGCTCACAGCTCGCAGCTGCCTCTTCTCCCTGGCTCAGCAGGGGGAAAGGCAGCCCCAGGGAAGAGGGGGAATATCCCTGCAATACAAAACTCCCTCCCCGAGGGATAAATGGGCCTCCAGAACGCCAAACCCTACTCAGTGAAGCGGGCCAACATCCTGATACTGGGGCTGGACTGTGCGGGAAAATCCACGCTGCTCTACAAGCTCAGGTATGAAGATGATTTCCTAACAATGCCCACGATTGGCTTTAATGTGGATATGATCGAAGTAGGGAAGGCTTTTACACTGACATTTTGGGATGTTGGAGGACAGAAGAAAATGAGAGAGCTCTGGAGCAATTTCCTGGAGGACACCGACGGGCTGCTGTACGTGGTGGACAGCTCTGCCAAGCACCGGCTGGAGGAATCCAGGAGGGAATTCGAGCTCATTTTAAAGCACGAATCCTTAAAAAACGTGCCCGTGGTCGTGCTGGCGAACAAACAGGACTTGCCTGGAGCTCTGAACGCCGAGGAGATCACCAGGAGGTTCAAGATGAAGAAGTACTGCAGTGACAGGAACTGGTACGTGCAGCCCTGCTGTGCCATCACGGGCCAAGGGCTGGCAGAGGCTCTCCAGAGAGTGGCCACCTTTGCCAGGCACTACAGCAAGTCCAAGGAGACTTTCACCACCCTGAAGGAGCTCAGTAGCTTTTAAGGATTGCTATCATCCACTCCTGGTGACTCTTAATATATTTTGTTGGACAGATTAAATCTGGAAAAACTGGATTCTGGAGAACTTTTATACATAAATATTTATAAAGGACTTTGAGAATATTAAATTCTACTGTTATACCTGCAGGTACTTGATGTACCTGATAGGATATCTCATACCTGAGATAGGACTCTGTAGCATTTTATTATTTTTTTTTATTACATACTTGGGGTTATTCAAGTCGAATTCTGAGAAAGGGGCAGAGGAGTACATGGAAATAAAACAGGTGAGCAGTGTTTAAGTAGCTTAAATCAAATGAAGATTCAAACCAATTTTTTTCAAGACATAAACCAGCCAGGTCATTTGGTCAGCAATGATCAAATGCTGTTTTGTAAGAAAAGCAACACGGATTTGTTTCTCATTCGATAAGAGAGCGGGATGAGAGCTTCAACTCTTAGTTATGTTAAATAACAGGAGAGTTTGGCTGTTTCTGCATTCCAGGAACAATTCCTGCAGGGAGGTGGTGAGGAGCAGGACGAGCTCCTGACCCAGCCCCAGACAGGGCCTGGCTCCAGGCTGTGACGTTCCCGTTGTCCCAGATATCCACGTGCTGCAGTTCCTGCACTGCTGGACTGCCCTCCTTCCAGGACTCATCAGCCAGGGAAGAGCTAAATCCTGATGGGTTTTCCTTGAATTCCCAGCCCTGGGCTCTGGAGAAGTTGGGGCAGGGGTCTTCTTGTGCTCACAGCCTTTTGTTCCAGGATGATATCAAGTATAGGTAGGTGGGAAGTAGGAAGTTTACATTTCATTCTTATTAATAAACAGACAGGAATGTCAAGTTATAAAAGGGTGAAGCAGCAATAAAATCATCCAGACATACCCTGTTGTCTCATGCACGGGTTATTCAAAGACCAAAAACATCATCAGGTGGATTTGCTGAAATAGTAAACAAAGGGAAATTTCTCAACAGAAGCTATTATTAATACTGAGACTAATTAATTACCAGGGGCTAAATGCTGAGTCATGCTGAGACTCCTGCTAAAAGCAGAACAAGTGTCTGGATTTTTCATTGCCTGCTCTGATGGTTTGGGCTCAATAGAAAATATCATCTTCTGTCCCTAAAAAGATCTTTAAAAGTCATTAATGTTGGTTTTCCAAACCAAACAATTCAATGTTTAAAAATGTGATCTTTCATATCAATGCATTTATAAACGTTTGCATGTGTCTGCTATAGGGTGAATTGTTTTAATCCAATCATGTGTCTGTTACAAAGCAAAATTTAGTTCTGTGGCCTCAGGACTTCCTCAGGGAGAAACATTCCTGAGAGATTTAATGAGGGTTCACCAGGGTCTCTAATTAGCCAAGAAGCAAGTTCTGAAGGGAGAAATAAAGTGCTAAAATAGACCAGATCATGCAGTGAAAAATGAGAATAAGCTCTCAGGCACACAGGCCCTTCTGCAGGTTATCAAATTACACTAAATGACACTCACATCAACTTGAAGAAATGTTTTACATTATGCTTCAAAGGAAAGGAATAAACTCAATTCCATTCACTTTATAGAATATCAAGTGTTTCAAAATTGCATTTTCTGAGAGCTTGGTTTCTCAGAGAAGTGAAGGCACGCCTGTTATATCTGCCCGAGGAGACCCCAACCTTTTGGAATCGTTTTAAAGGTTTAAAATAAACATCAGTCAAGCTGGTTTGGAGGTTCTCAGGGGAATTAAAAGCCTGAAAGTTTAATTAAAAAACTCAGTGAGACAGAGAAAAGTGACCAGCCTTTAAAGGCGAAGCTGATGAGGTACAAAAGACTGATCCCCATGGAGATAAATGTTCCACCAGAGCCGGGGTTTAATGAATTCCTCTGCTCCGGGGCTTTTCCTTGGATCAGCAGAGCAGCATCGGGGGCTTCCCCAGGATGAGACAGGGATGGAATGCACTGCTCCTGGAGCCAAGAACCTCCCTGACACTCAGCAACATTTTGGGAAGGTGTTCGGGAAGCTGCCAGGGTGTTTTCCAGCTCTATCCTGCTTGGCTGAACACCATGAGCAGAATTGTCGTGGTGTTTTAGGAATTCTACCAGTGCTAAAATCCAACCTGCAGCACCTGGATAATTTATACCTGGATACGTTTGGCTTATTTTATTATTTAGAATTTTTACAGATTGCTCACCTAAAAACTTTTTAGGGTTTTTGAAGGGTTTGGGATGCTTTGAGATGGTGAGAAATCAGAATCTGAAGAGCCCTGAGGCAGTGAAGTCTGGGAGCTGAAAGCTTTTCACGGGATGAAAAGCCTTGAAGAGTTGGGGTCAGCTGTTTGTTGGGGTCAGCTGCTTATTTTGCTTCAAATTTGGGATTTTTTTTCATCAGCTCACCCTGCAGTTTTGCGTTTTTTAATTGCTGTGTTCTGGCAGTGTTGTGCAGAAGCACTGCAGGCGTTCTGTAGCTGAAGGGCTCAAATCCCTCAGTGTCTGCTCACATTCCTTAAAGAGTTTGGTGTCCCTGTTCTTTTGTGCTGGCAGGAGAGTCAATGTGACAAAACAAGCGGAGTACAAAGGGAGAAGGATCTGAAGCCTGCAGGACCCTCTCAAGGAGATGTGTTTGGCTGGGACCATTTAACAGCTGACACACCCAGAGTTTGGGACCTGTCCTCTTGGCCATTCCTTGACAAGATCCCTGTGGTTTAAAGTCACATTGAGGCTTCTGAGTTTAGGAATAACTCACGGAGCTCATTGACCGTGGGTCCAGTGGGGTGAAATGGGGATGAAATGCCATTTTAAGGGAAAGTGTGGAGCAGCAGAAGAAAGCACTGCGGATTTGGATAGCAGCACTCCCTCCTGCTTTGCCCGGGAGACAAGTGTCCAATAATTTAAGAGTCCAGGAGAAGTGCAGTGTCTAAGGAATGCAGGACAAGGCTTTTCCAATATCACACAACTGGTGTTACTCAAAATGTCTCTGTGCCATCTCATTTCAGAGCAGTAACTGAACCAAAGGAAAGACTTTCCTGTGCCAAACGAGTCCCAAGTGCTGCAAAGGAGACAGCAGCACTTTGAAGTGCTGTGTGCACATTAAACAGTTTTGGGTTTTTTTTTCCCCCCGGGTAAATGGGCCATGCCGAGTTCTGTGCTGCTACAATCAGGTTTTCTCCACTTTAATTAGCTCAAGTATCCTGATTGGATTCTGGACATCCATCTCCTCAGATCCCACAGCCCGGATTAGGCAGCTCGCTGTCATTTGGGATGTAAATTCTGGAGGGTGGAGGCTCTCAGCGCACACCACACTGCGGGGACCATCTGCAAATGGAAATTCATGGACGGTAACGAGTCCTGGCACATGGTGAAGGCAGGAGATTTTAGCAAACCGAGCATTCGGTGCTCCAGTTTCTCCAAAATTCTGTTCCACACCTGTTCCGTGCTGCTCCTGCTCATCCCTGATGTGTTTGTGACACTGGGACCGAGACACCTCAGCCGTGTCCCCTCCGTGTCCCCTCCGTGTCCCCTCCGTGTCCCCTCCGTGTCTTTAGCCAGCAGAGTTTTCTCGCTGTCCCTGTCCAGCTCCCCTGCTGTCGTTATCAATTTTCTCCCGGAGTTTTGGGTTTGTTCTCAGCCACTCCTCGTGCTTGGAGTGACCTAAAGACATTTCAGTGCTCCTTTCATTGTTCTCTCTCAGCTCCTTCCTCAAAGCTCTCCCACGATGTATGCAAATGTCCTGACAATGCTTTATGAGCCGTGGCTTTTGATGAATTTTTTTTTTTATTATTTCCTTGTTCTCCCCGTGTGTTTTCGTCTTGCAAGGTGCTTTTATTGGTGCAAAGATCATCTTTTTGTTCTGTGTTTTTTGTTTGGGTTTTTTTATATATATATATATATATATTTTGTAACTTTTCATTGACTTGTTTTTACTTTGTTTTCCCCTTTTTATTTGCCTGGCCGATGAGAAGTTTCTAGGCTTTGTATTACCCCGATTCGGGCAAAATATCTGCAAAAAGAAGTAATTTTGTGAGTTTAATAAACCACCTGCTTTCAGCTATTATAGTTGGGAACAGCAGCAGTGATTTTATCGATCCAAAGGCAAATCTCCTCTGAAGTTCTGCTTGGTTGTTAAAGGGTAACTGTGCCTTAATCAATAATTTTCTGCTACTTTATCTAAAACACACACATTTATCACCGAAGAAAGAATTTGAGTGTCTCAACCTTCCCTTAAGAAGTCAAAGAAATTTTATTTCTTTCTGTGAAAATCCCTCCTATCACTGGGATGTAACACATAACATAAAGGTATTCTGCAAAGAGCTTAATTAATAAATGATAAATTAATGTCTGGCTCCTCGTGGGGTGGCTCAGGGCTGGATGCTTTTCCCAGCACAAGGGAATAATTCTGGATTGAATTCACATTTAGGATTTTTTTCCTTTGTTGAGGATGAACAAGAAAAGTTTAATTTATCTAAAATGTCTATAGGTGGTCACAAAATTCTTATGTGCACAGGAGTATTCACAGAGCTTGAATTCTCTGGAAAGGTGAAAAAAAAAATTACAGAAGAAGAATTTAAGGAGTTAATTTGGAGGGGCACTGGGGTAAGAAAAATGACAGCAATACCATGAAAAAGGGAAGTGGAAAAAAAAAAAAAAAGTGAGAAAATTCTCAGGCCAAAGTACCAAGTGTTGTAGATACAGAAAGGAATAGAAAGAAAAAAATAAAATAAAATAATTCCCAGCCATTAACTTTGCACTGTGGTGCAAAAGCTGAAGCTGCTTCTCTTTTAAAATCAATATTTAATGTGTGCAAACCCTGCTGGTGCTCACAGGGGGAACTTCCCTGGCTCTCCCTGATCGTTCAGTGCTGAAGGCAGCTCAGATAAAATAGATCAAATAGATAAAATATATAAAATAGATCAAATAATATCAGACCCCAAAGATGATGTCCCTTGGGAGAAAATATTCTGCAAAGAACTGTCTCCTCGTAGTTAACTCTAAACATTAATTTATTTTAATGTTTTCATTTATTAATTTTTAGTATTAATCCTGAGCATGGATAGTTAAAAATATTTAACATATTCAAGTCAAACATTGTGGAAATTAATTATCGTTTCAAATAACTCTTCCATTTAACCTGCATAGGAAAATTTTAAATTTTTTAGCCGTCACCTCCATGGAACTTTTCCTTTTTGAAGCTTGAGGTTTTCCACTGAGTCATTTGGATGGTTGTTTATATAAAATATCATTTATTGCCCACGCTAACGGGTACATTTGTACAGGTTTTGCTTCCTCGGGTGCTGCTGAAAAACCCCTGTCAGGCACCAAGGAAAACCCGAGGCAAAGAGCAGAAAACGGAATAATATTCTTTAAAAATACTTGTGCAGAATGTGTTTCCTCGCTGAGACATCTTGTGGTGTGTGAGGCTTCCTGCAGCTCGTCAAAACGAAACTGTGGGGTTGAAAATTCAATCTTGAGACCAGAGGAGCCCGAGAACTCTCTGAGAGCTTAAATCACACAGCTAAAAATCGCTTTTTTAAAAACAAAATCTGCCTCGTTACAGCACTGATGGGCTTATTTTCAGCCATTCTTTTCAATGTTTAAAACATAAATATATAAATATAAATATAAATATAAATATAAATATAAATATAAATATAAATATAAATATAAATATAAATAGAAATAGAAATAGAAATAGAAATAGAAATAGAAATAGAAATAGAAATAGAAATAGAAATAGAAATATATAGAATTTGCTGGTGTTTAGGTAAAGCCCACATTTGTTTTCATCATGCATTAAGGTGAAGTTTCACTTTGTGGCACTGAAAATTCCTAACAGTGAGTAGTGATGTCCAAACTGCCCAAACAAGCGTATTTTTAAACTGGAATTCCCTTTTTTTTTTTTTTTTTTTCACGTGCAGTTGGTTGTGGTTTAGAAGAGCTCTGGTAACCAGCTCATAAGTAAAGTGAGATTTGAATGTAAAGAGGAATAATGAACATTAAAAAGAAAGGGTTGATCTCGGTGATCTGACAGAGGCACAGATTCCTGAGGCTGTGTAATTCAGGAAAATGATGTGCCCATTATTCCCCCTCAAAAGAAAAGCTGAACAGAAATATTAGCATTTATCAGACAGCAGAAAATCAAGGAAATCTCAGTCCAGAGCCTTGGGACAATGGGCCTCGTTAGTGCTGCTGCTCAGAGCTCTCATTTTCTCCATTCCAGCACAACAAAGAGAGATGAAAACTTGGAATATTTTCATTTCTCTGCTCAATACCAAGCCCTGAGCCTTTCAAAATTCCTTATTCAGCCATGGATTGGAGTTTTCTTTCAAACCCAGCCTGAGACACAGCACTGACAATAGAAATCTGCATCTGGATATTTACATTTTTGTTGCTTCTTGGGTTTGATGCTGTTTTATGAGCTAAACCCTGTAAGTGTTAACAGCCAGAAATAAGAGTTTAAATCTGAGATGCTCCCAAAAATGTCTCTGTTTTCACAGTCCCATCAGTGCTTCTGTGTACAATATTAAACACATCACCTAACACCTCACACCATTTAATTATCTGAGCATGTTGTGCAGATTAATTC